TCTGCATATATTAGGGTATAAACTTCTGATAGCACCCCGCCATCCCTAAAAACTTCGACACTTCCCTATTATTTTCAAGAGGTTTCATTTCTGCGATTGCCTTGACTTTACTATTGTCCGTTTCAATGCCTTCCTTACTCATTATGAAACCTAAATACTTCAATTTGCCAAGTGGCAATTATCCTTATTTAATGTTCGCCCTGCATCTCTCAACAATGTAAATACCTGATTCAAATGATCTAAGTGTTCATTAAACGATGGAGATGTAATAATAACATCGTCCATATAAACCATCACGAAACGCTCTTTAACAGGTTTTAATATAATGTTTACGGCCTTTTGAAAATTTTGCGCTTCCCTTGAAAGGCCAAAAGGCATTCTGAGGAATGCAAAGGTGCCATTGCGAGTTATAAACGCGGTTTTCTCGATATCTTTTGGACTAATCACAAATGGAAAATAGCCCGATTTTAAATCCAAAGTCGACATGATACCGGTATGCGGAATATTTGTGATTAAATCATCAATCACCGGTAATGGATATCGCGGGTATTTAGTGATGGCGTTTAGTTTGCGATAGTCAAACGTGAATCGATACGACTCTCGAGAATCTGGAAGAAGGTCATTATTTTTGCTCGTTAAAACTACCGGTGAAGCGTACGGGGATTGAATATGACGGATTGTACACTCCTGTAACATTTTCTCAATGTTATAATCAATTATTCCTTGTTTGATCCTGTCATATCGGTAGGGTCTTGACACTACCGGTCCCTTGTCCCCAGTATCGAATTCATGGTATAAAACATGAGTTAACCCCGGCTGGTCTGAAAATAGCCCTTTAAAACCATTAAATAAATCCTTTAATTTCTGCTTTTGCCCTTCACCGAGTTTTGTATCTGATAGATTAATCTTGACCGGCTTTTCCACTTTTGGCAACTGCTTAATTTTGTCATCTGGAATGATCAGAGATTTCTTATCGAAATCTAAAGTCAATTTGGTCTCCTTCATAAAATCAATGCCTAGAATGAATTGGTACTGCATATTGTTAAGAATGTGAAATTCACATGTTTTCTGGAATTCTCGGATCCTAATCTGTAATTCGACCCGACCTAAGTGACAACACGAGGCTCCCTGGGCCGTCACTACTCTATCTTTCGTCTTTTGACGCGGTCGATCCGAAAAATATTTTCGATAGAACTCCTCTGATATGAAATATTTCTCCGCTTCCGTGTCCCAGAGGGCTGTAATGAATGTTTCATTTGAAAGAATGGGGACGTAAAATAAATCTACTGGAGTCATTCGTAATGAGGATATCCTAATAGTTCGGTGTTCCGTATCTGGAGTATTTTCTGTACATTGCGATCGATCATCCCCTAACTCGCATGGATCGCTTAAAAGTTTAAATATCTGTTTTGATCATTCTGACCCCTGAAAGAACTGTTCCTCGAACCACCTTGACGGCCGCCTTGATTGTGGAATATATTATGAGATTGACCACCTGGGCGTCGACCATCAAATCTCCGATTATCCGCAACACCTTGACCCTCAAATCTATTGAACTCTCTCCGCGGTCTGTTATTGTCCCAGTATCTGTTGTTACCTCTCGTCTCCCTCCAATTTTCCTGCCGATTCCTGTTAGGGAAACGATTGTTCTCGCTTGGGTTTGTATCTCGAAACTCCCAACTCGAACCTCTAATCTTTCTACTTAGAAACCTTTCCTCGTACTTATCAATTATTTGTAGGCGGTTAGATGTGGTTTGCGTGTGCCTAGCCTCTTCCTAATCTAAAATCTGAGGTTCTAACCGTCTAATAACATGATCTATCCATTTTTCCTTCGTCATGTTGAGTTTTAAAATTTTGTGGATCTTTAGCAAGTCATACAAAAATTCAGACGGTTTTTGATTATGCTTTTGATATGATGCGAAAAAACGAGTTTCTAGTTCCGGACGTATATACACTGGTGTGCAAAAATTAAGGACGAAATCGAAAAATTAGCATATCAGCTGAACGAAGAGGCAGAGCGGACAGAAAGACCAATCAGGAGATTAAGTAAGGTGATGTACGGTAGCACATGCGCAGATATGCAGGTAGACGTAATGGGGGAGTGTCTGAGTAGTATAAAGCATGTTGTCGGTGTAAGATCAGTATTTCTGGCAAAGAGATTGCACGCCGTATAGCAGTTAAAATCACACCGAGTTGCTGCCTCAGCGAGAAATGGCGAATGATGAATCTGTTAGACGACATCTGGATGCTTTTACCCGAGGTCGAATCATTGGGAAGTTGGAGGAAGGCCGCAGTGTGACAAGTGGGGCTGCAAAGTTCGGAATTGCTCACAGCATCGTTTCACGACTTTGGGGGTTCAGTAGTGGTCGTCCACGAGGAACCACATCCGCAGATTACCGGTACATTGTCTTACAGGACAGAAGAAACAGGCGGCAGACAGCGGGAGAAATCGCTAGACACACGACACAGGCGACTGGACGACCGATATCGCGTTTTACCGTGACCAGAAGACTGCACGGTGGTGGTCTGTTTGCACGACTCCCTGTACGGTGTGTACCTTTAACGCGTTCCCATCGGAGAAGGCGTTCTCTGTGGTGCCGAGAACACCGGAATTGGAGAGACAATGAATGGGGACGAGTACTCTTTACAGATGAGAGCAGATTCAGTTTGAGTAGCGATTCTCATCGCATACTCATCTGGAGAGAGCGGGGAAGCCGCAATCATCCCTCGAACATCATTGAAAGGGACAGGTATGGAGGTCGCGGTGTTCTCGTTTGGGGAGGCATCATGCTTGGTAGTCGTACAGACCTTCACATCTTCGACGCAGGTTCAGTCAACGGGATCCATTATTGTAACGAGATTCTTCTTCCATATGTGCGTCTTTTTAGAGGCGCTATTGGTCTGCAGTCCCTTTTCATGGACGACAATGCACCATGTCATCGCACAGTAGCTGCCGAACAGCTCTTAGAGAGTGAGGATATTGAACGTATGGATTGGCCGGCACGATCTCCGGATCTCATACTCATCGAGCATGTATGGGATTTTCTAGGCAGACGCTTGGCAGCTCGTACCTTACCACCAGTAACGATTCGGGAGCTTCGATTCGCGCTGCAAAATGAATGGGCAGCAATGCCTCAACAACTCATTGACACCCTCATTCTCAGTATGGGCAGACGCTGTGAAACCTTCCTAGCAGTCAGGGGAGATCATATCCCCTACTAAAGACCGGATGTTTCTTGCTGGACACCCATCACAGGGATGTTTCGGCCTTCAGTCGCATTGCGCTCCATGCTACTTTTTCAATCAAGCTTCTTTTTATCCCTCTGATTTCTCTTTTAGTAAGTGTTGCTTACATATTACACATGTCCTTACGTATTGGGGATCTTACGGTATTAAATGTCTCTGTCGATTTGGAAAGCTTTTGTACAAAGTTATATTGAAAAAACCATCTGGTCCTTAATTTTTGCACACCAGTGTATATACGTCTATCCGAAGTACGATTTTTTCTTTGCACTGCTATCTACAAAATTATTCCGGCTTTGGCATGCAATAAAAAGAAGCGAAGAATTTACTTATTTCAGAACTTTTTTGCTTCTTTATTTCTCTCCCCCCACCTCTTAATACATCACATGCGCACGCCAGCGTGGAAAAAGGTTGGCAGTGGGAGGTGAATCGCGTAACTTTTAGTTCGCAGTTAAGTGATTAATTAGAAGCCGTGCAAATTATAAAGATAAGTGTTCATTTTTGCAAATAACATAATAATAATAATTTTTGCAGTCATTGGTAATTATTCAACTTGTTCTTAACTTAGTATTGTTAATAAAATACATTGTGTAGCACTGATTTATTTATAAAAGTGTAATATATTCGTGTAAATGTGTATTTTATTTTTTATTATGCCAGAATATATTTTGTTTCTTTACTTTCAGTAAATTAATAATTATTAAATAAATAATATTTTGTTTTTGACTTTTCAATATGCTCATGCCCCCTCGTTACGCCCCTCAAGGGGGGCGCGCCCCACAGTTTGAGAAACGCTGGTTTTACAACAATAGTTATTATGATTTCCGAAATATCAGTCCCATAGCACCAAATAAGTTGCATCATAATATATAAGACAACGGTATGCGCGTGGGCATCGGTGTCGTGAAGGTATGCGCACACATCCGTGATGGTATGCGTACACATCCGTGACTGTGTGCTTTCGCATGGTAAAAATTTACCCTCATCCTTTTTCCCTAACGCCCCAAAAGAAGGATAACTTCAAAATTAAATATACGAATATAAAAGGCTCTTATAATTTGCTACAATGTAATAAATGTGTTTCTGTTCATCACAATACGTTCGCAGTAAATACTACATCTATAATCATATACTTGCAATTCTTATTTAAATAGGTAAGCTAATATTTACTCTTATGTTTTATGTACATGAAACACAATTTAAAGATTAATTTACTAATTTTTTTTAAGTTTCCTGTAAGTATGTTTGGTTTAATAAAGGCGAAGTTCCGTAGACGAAGGAAGATCTCTCCCGACTAGTAGTGACGTCACAAATCAGAGCAAAGCAAAAATTTTCAGACACGGAGGGCATTACTCAGTGGTAGAGCATTCGACTGCTAATCGAGAGGTCTCCTGTTCAAACCAAGGTACCCCCTTCTTCAGGGAAGGGAAGAGAAATATTTTTTTGAGAATTTCGCAGGCGGGAATGATCTGTCCCATTCTAAAAGTTTCTAATCAAAGCATTTTCGTATCCGTTTCTACGGAACGCAAAGCAAAGGTTAACTGACGCAGAGGTATAGCTCAGTGGTAGAGCATTCGACTGCAGATCGAGAGCTCCCCGATTCAAACCCAGGTGTCCTTTTCTTCAGGGAAATGAAGAGAAATATTTTTGAGAATTTTGAAGGCGGGAATGATCTGTCCTGTTTTGTATATTTCTAGTCAAAGCATTTTTAGTATCCGTTCCTACGGAACGCAAAGCAAATGCTCGCTGACGCGGATGTGTAGCTCAGCTGTAAAGTGCTCGACTGCAAATTGAGAGGTATCCGGTTCAAACCCGGGTGTCACCTTCTTCTGGGAAGTGAAGAGAAATATTTTCCTAAGAATTTCGAAGGCGACAATGATCTGTAACGTTTTGTATATATGTAGACAAAGCATTTTCGCATCGGTGACGGTTTTGTATCACATCCATGACGGTGTGTGCGCGCATCGTAAAAATTTACTCTCATCCTATTTCTCTAACACCCCAAAAGAAATCTAACTTCAAAAATGCAGCTTGAAAGTATAGATGAACGTTATATGCCAGATTTTAAGGTTTATAAAAATGTCCGTTTATTTGTATCTTATACGAATCCATATCGCTGCAAAATTTTTAGAGAGCTTTGCTGATGTTTCAAAGGAGGTGTAGGCCTAATTCTAAAAAAATCGAATATGATTCTTGGTAAATTTATTTCTAAAGCCCTCTTTTTATCATCGATGCTGCTACCATCTGTCACGTATAATTATTTGGTGTCTTTTTATAGAAGAGACTTTTTGTTTGTGTGTGTGTTTAACACTTTTTTAAATTTTTAATCTAGGATTTTTTTTTGTTTTTGGGAACAATTTGAAAATACAATTTTTAAAAATTTGAAAATCAAGTCTACTTATACTTGAAATGAATCGTCTGTTTTTGTTTGAAAATCAGAGATGAAAAAAAAAGTAGGCAGTATATACAGGGTGTCCCCGAATGTGACTTACAAAGTTGGAGGGAGGTAGAAAACATCGTGAGGAGCCATAATTACATAGAAAAGCATGGATGGAAAGCGATAGGTGGCGCTGTACGTGAGCTCGCAAGGTCGGTCATTTCATTCATGAACATCGTGCGATGAACTTGAATCATTATACGAATGCCAAGTTGGCAGATATCTACCTTATATACGGTCCTGCCAACGGAAATGGATGTGTTGCTGTTCGATTGCATGGGGAAAGATATCCAATGAGGCGGCAACCGAATCATCAAACGTTCGCGCGGGTGCATCAGAACCTGGTGGAATATGGATCTTTCAGAGCCATGATTGACGACGCGCCCGTCAAATCTGAAGTGGATCTGGTGGCATGAATAGCCTTCGCTGCTGCTATGATCCGTGAGTGAGTAAGTGAATATTAACGTCGCACTATTCAGCTACTCGAGGGCTTTTGGCGACGGACCTCATATTTTTCAACCATGGTCAAGTAATGAGGACGACACCTGAGCTGCCCCCCCCCGATTTCCTAACTACCACACCGCACCAACGGCGCTATGATCCGTGAAACGCCTGGTATTTTCGAACACGGCCACCAATTCATTCATGTCGCGTCGGAGTCGTGCGTGCATACATGCCAAAAACAGCAATTTCAAACACCTGTCATGCTTTAATGTCATACTTTTAATTTATGATTGTTTTTTTGTTTTTGTAATAAAACATTTTATACTACATTCTATATTGTGATTTTACTGTCTTTGTATCGTTTTATGTCGTTAGGGTTACATTTCCGCCTATGCTTTCCTATGTAATTATAGCTTCGCATCATGTTCTCTACCTCCCCTCCAAATTTGTACACGCCATTCGGGACACCCTGGATAAATGATTAAGTCCTATAAATGTAAACCAAAGATGTGTGTTCACGTGTTGCTATTCCAAAAAAATTCTGAATAAGTATTGTCTATTTGCAAGCGATTGCTTGAAATTTTTATTAAAATTAATGTTTTTAACTTCCCGCGTGTGAAGGGGTTTTTTTCCCCTTCTTCCTTTTTACTTACCAAAAATTGATAAAGAATCAATTTTTGAGTTATTTCTTAAACTTTGTTGTCTCTTATCTTCATTGTATCAGTCTCTTTCTGATGATTCTGAAAAATACGGGGTAGTTTAGATATATTTATGTAATTGAATTTGCCATTTTGTTTAATAAATCATTCCTTCGTTGGATTCTGATGTGCATCATCATCATTATATTCGGCAAGACAACGCCTCGTGGGCCAGTGCCTTCCTTTGAAGTTTCCTCCACGCGTGTGACATCTCCCATTCACCTTCACACACACACACACACACATTCTCTAAGTTTTCTCGTCCATAATCCCGAAGTCCGATTCCTGAGTCTGTCCATCTCAGCTTTGGTCTTCTAAGTTTCCGAATCCCAATGATTCTGAAATGCAGTATTTTTTTGACAACATTATCATATGGCATTCGAATAGTCTGATTTGCAGCTCAGTTAAAAATATTCAAAATATTATTTTAAGAAATTGACCTAGGCATTTTTTTTATCCTTCCATCTCCACTGTTATATTTCCCCATTCACCCTTGCGATGTACGTCTATTATAATTTCGCATAAGCATAGATTATTGTGCTGTCAAAATAGAAGTGGGAAGTGAACAAATATACAAGAACACATTTAAGAGATACAATTCTAGACTATTAATAGAAACTTTCGTATTCTTATACTTCTTAAAATACTCTGCAAAGTAAATGAAGGTATGTGTGAATAGCTACTCCCTGTGTTGATTTATTTCTATTAAAATAGCCAGCAAAAGAATCAAATGAACAGCTGTTAAACTAAGTAGGAGGAAAAAACGAAAAACACTTAAGCAACTTGGTTGTAAAGTTATTGTAGCATAAATCTAAATTACAGATGTGTGTAGTTCCTCCCTAGACACAATTTTGTCGGTATCTATATCTATCTATCTATCTATATATATATATATATATATACATATACCGAAGTAATAATAAATTAAATTCTTTTTTTTTCCACCACGCTTTCGCACTTAATCATAAAGGGCATTTCCATAAACTGCATAGCTTTCTATATATACTTCCTCATACAGAAAAGGATTTTTGGCATATTCAGGGGAATATAAAATGTTAATGAAATCTGTATCTAGAATTATACATATATAGACAGCTATGCACAGTTTCTACTAAAAAAACAAAAAATGGTTTTTGTTACAATTCAGATTTAAGATTTTTTTTCTTATTGTAACGTGTAAATAATTACAACTTCACTACTTCTAAATCTTCTAATCACTACTTCTATTAAATCCACTTTTATTGTGCAACAATGCAACAAAATTATATACTTCTTTTACAATTTCATAACTCTACTCCCCCAATTTTCATTCTCCTCTGTCTAACTCTTCACTGATCCCCATTCTGCTGGGGGTACAATTGTACAGCACAGCTGTTGAAGCAACATTATCTATCTTCTTAACAAGATGATTCTAAGAAAATGTGGTAATTTCAAAGATTATTAATGCCTCGAAAATTCCAATATTTTATTACGTTATACTTGCATAACACTTAAAACAAATTTTTATGAACCTTTTTCTTCTTGCTTCAATTATTATTTAATTTAAATAACGATTATTTCAAAATAATAATTTATCTTTTCTTAATCAAAAAAAATTGAAAATACACTCTGTCGCAAAAAAATATATGCACCCAGAAGAAATTGAGCTACATTCACGAAATTTGGTATGCATGTAGTGTATATGAAAATAAACAAATGATTAAAAATTCAGAACAAAATATCATTTTATTAAGCGGTTACAGCTTGCAAAAGGTTAAAAATCAGTAAGTAGTAAAGCCACCTCTGGCAGCTATACAAGCCGAAATTCGGCGAGGCATCGATTCAATTAGATCACTTATGACCCTCTGTGGAAGATCCTGCCATAGTCTTTGCATCTGCGCAGTTAATTCTCCTGTATCTCGGGACGGCTGCAGTTGCCTTCCCAGCGCGTCCCAGACATGCTCTATTGGCGAAAGATCTGGTGACCTGGCAGGCCATGGTAGGACGTCATATCCTTGAAGACATTGTTGGGAGAGTCGCGCAGTATGTGGACGAGCATTATCCTGTTGATAAATGGCACCTGGGCGACTTGATAGCATGGGTAGCACAATCGGCGTTAAAATATCGTCCACGTATCTACGAGCTGTCAAAGTGCCTTGAAGGACCACTAAAGATGATCGTGTGTCCCAAGAAATTGCTCCCCACACTGTCACACCTTGTGAAATTGCTGTATGCCGCTCGACAATAAATGCCGGATCGGACCGCTGGCCGGTGCGCCTCCAGACACGTGTGCGGTGGTCATCAGCACTGAGACTGAATCGGGATTCATCACTGAAGATGACACGTCTCCGTCTGTCACACTCCAAGTTGCCCGAGGTCGGCAAAAATCCAGTCGACACAGCCTATGATGTGGGGTCAGTGGTAAGCGTCTTAGCGGACGTCGGCTCCTCATGGTTTCTCTTGATGGCACTGGATGTCTGGAAGGAGGTAAGTGGCGTTGAATCGATGCTAGCGACGTTGTTGGTGCCGAAGTGGCCACTCTTCTGATTGCACGATCCTCGCGATCATTTGTGTTCCTGGGACGTCCTGACCCTCCGCGACGGTACACTCTACCTTCTGTGATCCACTGTTGCCAACACCGAGCAACTACCATATCGCTCCAACCGAGGTGGCGGCCGATACGTCTATTCGACCAACCTGCTTCTCTGAGGCCTATTATACGGCCCCTATCAAAGTCCGTCAGCTGCTCGTACTGCCGCCGGTTACGTCTTAGAGGCATCCTAAGTCTCAATATCGTCTATCTAAGTCATCATATTCGTTTGGATAGCCGTACGGCGCTCGTACTCATGCTTTTAAACTCTCCCAGTTGCGCAACTAATATGCGCATAGCACACTTAGCCTTGTCTCATTGGCTTCGAAATTTTAATCATTTGCATATCTCTTACCAGACTACATTCTTTCCGAGTTTCGTGATTGTAGCTTGATTTCTTCTGGGTGCATATATTTTTTTGCGACAGAGTGTATGTTGCTTATATAATTTCAGATTCCTTTAGCGAAACGAATAAATTTTCAAAAGTATACCCATTGCTACAAAAATAAACGCACCAAAAAATAATTGTGGGATCATAATGAAACACACTTGGCAAGAAGGTACATGTCGGGTAGATATGTAAATGATTATAAATGGTATGATTGCGTAATGTCACTAGAAGGCGCTGAACTTGGTTCTCCTTGGAGTATAAAACAAGTAAGCAGAGTTTACTTGAG